CTAAATCCCTGGCTCACTCTTACTTTTAAATTATGAGTATAAAAAATTTGGAAAACAGAAAACTCTAAGAGCTATTTTTTATTTGCATATTCTACTTTTCATATGGCAATATTTTTAAACTTTTCATTCTTTCTATACTTGCCACATCAACCAATAAACACATGCTTCATAGTCTAGATTTGTGGAAGTTTTGAAACTGCCCAGTGAGGCTAAATGGCAAATGGTAACATCACCCTGTAGACTGGGACATTAATCAAGTGGGCCACTCTATTTCTAAACCCCTGTCCTCCTTCCATTCCTGTTCAGCAGAGTTCTTGGGAGCCAGAGTCCTCACCCAAGTCCTACAGCACAGTGTGTGTCCCTGACACACCTGGAAGGCTGCTCTATAAGTTTGCCTCTCTCAGTTCCGGGTGACCTGGTGAGGCCCTAGTGACTGCTTGGCTTAACTGCCCACCTTGCTGCTCTAGGGCTTTTTCATCTTTGGTCAGTCTCCAGTTATTTGTTTGGAAAATGATTTCTCTAAAAGTTTGTCACTCCTGACAGATTTTCATATTTGTTTTCCTGTCCAAAAGCAGGATCAGAAAACTCAGAACTTCTGTGGGAGGGCCCGGCATATCTTACCTGGAGGTCCCACTACTGGGGTGGCACCCTAAAGGTTAGGGTAAGAGGTATGCTAAACCCTGGGGCCCATGGAAGAGTACTTTGTTGTTGAACAGTTTGAGGTCTCAAAAGAATTTGATTTGTTTGAAATATACATAAGAAAGACATTATTCCAAGGCCATGTAAAAATAGAGTTCCTAAAGCACAACAGAAGTGTTCTTAACTGATTGCTGTTAAGGTAACTGGTGATTCAGTGGTACAGCACGCGCCCAGCTTGCTTAAAGCTTTGGACTTGCTGCCCAGCTGCAAGAAAAAAAAAAGAAACAGGTAACAACCTTATAATCAGTACAGACCTATAAAGACCAGCTTTTGGGAGGCTGAGCCAGGAGTATTTGGAATTCAAGGCCAGTGAGAGGCCCTCTTCCCAAAAATAACACCTTATGCATCCACCCAGGCTTTGGGGTGTGGGGGCGGCGCTGGGAGTCAAACCTAGGGCCTCATGCACGATAAGCAAGTGTTGTACCTCTAAGCTGCATTCTAGCCAAAAGGGAGATAGTCATTTCCAATAATTTGGTAACATCAGGAAATTTCTGTACAGATGATTTTGTCATACCTAATGGTTCACTTAAATCTTACATGCTACTGCTTCAGAAATTTTGAACTAAATACTAAATTTTAAGTATTTTCTTTCTAAAGGTAACACCAGAAGTTCCTTTTCTGTGCATAAAGTCATGTTAAAGAGTGAATTTAGGGAATTTGGAATTTAAAGTCATTGTAATTGTGTGAGGTAAAAACCAGAATGGTGAGAACAGATAATAATGCAGTGAATTTAACTAGTTTACCTACCTTTCCTTTACATTCAGGCATCTTGCTTAATGGGCTTCACTTCTGTCCCCGACTTCCTCTTTTCTTTTCCCATTACGCTCTAGACAGCAATCCTCTAGAAAGACTTCCAGCCACAACTCACCTCTTTCCTTTTCAAACGAAACACAGAAAGGTGACTGAAAGGGAAAAACTTGAGCAGTTGGGTACAGAGTTGTAAGAATTAAGTCCTTAGGAGATGTGGCAGAGGTCCTGTTTCTTTTCTGTTTTAGGTACTAACTCCTCTTTCATCCCTTGTTCCCCAGTTAAGCCAGTGGGGAGAACATGTATAAGATGAAGCATGTCTTTTTCTGAGTTTTCTGCTGGAAATAATTGTTATAATAGTACTTAGCACATTTTCTTAAATGTTCCTGCTTGTCAGATATGGTACTGCATGCCCATAATTGCAGCCACTCAGCAGGCTGAAGCAGAAGGATCTCAACTTCAGGGATTGCCTGGGCAATTCAGTGAGGCCCTGTCTCAAAATTCTAGAAGAGGGCTGAGAAGATAGCTCAATGGTAGAGAATTTGCCTAGTATGCACAAGGCCCTGGGATCAGTTCCCAGTAATCCCGTTACCCCTACTCCCACCGATACGTAGAAATTCCTAGGTAACGCTAAAGAAGCTACCATCCTGGGACTTTTCTTTCCATTTCTGAGAGAATCTACGTAATTTTAAGGAGTAAATAATAGCGTTCTCTTAAAGAAAAAGACAAATGACTGTTGGTTTTAAATTGCTGGGTTTTATTAAGATATTGGCAAAATTTCAACATACTCCTTACTTGAATGAACAGCTTTAATAAATAAAATATGATTACAACTGAACTCAAAGGTGATCTGTAGAGTGGGTTTGTAAATTGATACGTTTACTTGGTAAGAAATGGTTTTCACTCCCTTCACTCCACAGAGAATTCATTGCAGAGAAATGTCATGAACAAGAGAAAGCCTGTCTCGCCAGAGAGCACCTAGAAAGTTACATTGATGTATCTGGATTAGCTAATACATCAGAGTCAAAGCATTTCCTTTTCATAAGCAACTGCTGTGTCAGTCTAGAGTTTCCTATCCTATTGGATAATTAATTAGTACAATAAATAGTTTTTGAAATAAACTGCTGCTGGAGCAAGTAGCAATTATTCTTTAATATTCTACCCTCTGTTTGAAAGATAGTTGTGTTATAATACTGGCAATATCATTTTGTTTTGAAAAAGACATTTAATCTTTTCACAGGTCAGAACAGAAGAGTGGGTACTTATCTCTTAACAGCACATGGTTTTTCAAAGGTGAAAAAATTCATTCTTTTGCTAATTTATGACTCAAAAAATCATCCGAAATTAAGGTGTGCACAAAACTTACAGTATCCCCTTTTATGGCCTTGGCTTAGGTGAAAATGCTCACTGAGTGAACAAATTGTTTAAAAAATTTAGATCATTTTCTCACCAGCTCACCAAACCTGTGATAGGGAAGGATGTACTGGAGCCACAGCAGTTTATCTGTAAACAGAACAACTCATGCATGCTCACTGAGTGAACAAATTGTTTAAAAAATTTAGATCATTTTCTCACCAGCTCACCAAACCTGATAGGGAAGGATGTACTGGAGCCACAGCAGTTTATCTGTAAACAGAACAACTCATGCGTCATTTTCATCTGCCGTCGATGATGCATTCTTACTGGCACAGTGTTCCAACAATGGAGTGTGATTGTCCTGAAAGTGCAGTGTTGATACTAATACCACTATCAGTATGGTCAGAGCTGACTTAATGTTGACATTGATATTATTGACATTGTCCTTGGAAAAGATGTTACATTCAAGGAGTCTCCCAGTTAAATGCAACAGGAACTTTAGTTGTATTCTTCAAGGACAATAGATGGCACTTCTAGGTAAAGAAAAGTTATATACATATGTGTTTCTACCTGACCTTTGTAGTACAGACCTAAATGGGATTAATAACCCCAGTATTTGGTGCTGTAATGTTGCCTAACCTCAGATGTCCCTCAAAAGTACACATGTAGAAAGTGAAAAAGGAAACCTTTAAGTTAGGGATTGACTCCCTTTGAAACTCACAGTGAATGTACAAGGAGTTTGTAATAACTTCATTTGGTGACATGAAGTCTGTTTCCCAAACCAATACTACACTTTCTTGTTTATATTTTACTATTTCCTATTCTAATGAAACTTGGTTAGCAGGCAAACAAATTGATGCAGATCATGTTAAAATTGAAAAAGGGATACTGCCACTCTTCAAGGATTGAGTGTAGAACTTTCACCACCACTAAATTACACAATGAGTAAAAATACAAAACACATAGTTCACGGACTATACCTCAGCATTAACAGTTAATATATAATAAATACTTTTATATCTGTCTATTTTTACAATCACCAGATACACCATCATTAAATACAAGTTACAATAATGTGTAGATACCATTAGAGGGTTACTTATTGCTTACGTTAGCAAGCAGCAAATAAGGGCACAGGATTTGAACAGAAGGGAACTACTTTCTATCACCAGTGGCATTAAGATATAACACTGCGTTTCACAAAGCACTGCTTTTTTTTTATCTAGTTTATAGAACCAAGAGCAGCATATATCAGACCAATAACCACTACTTTAATATTTATTATAGAATTTTAAAGGACTTACAAATGGTACCTAACTACCCTATAAATATGCATATTGTGAACAAATGAATAGTTGCTATTTTTTACAATATTGAGAGAACTACTTTATTTTCTAGAGAGAGCTGATGGTGTGAGACATGGAGTTAACACTGCTATACAGTCAGACCTACAAAACCCATACCATTAGAAATGGGTCTGTTTGTCCCACTTCCTTCCAGCCATTTTTCCCTACTGAGAAAACTTATCACTTGCAGCTTCTTTCCTTTCACCTTTATTATCAAAAGCACTACCAACATACAACTACAGAAATTTACATCTTTTTTACTCGGCTAAGCATTTTGGATAATAATGTGTACCAATATTCTGCTGCCTTTGTTTTCTTGTTTCCTTAGATAACTTGATTTGAAACTGACACTGCATCGGAAGGGTTGTCAACAAGATCTAGGCTTCAGAAAATGACAGATATGAGTGAGGTCCATGTCTGGGGCAAAGAATCAGGATGATGAAAGTCTTAATACTGTAGTTGGAGCCATGTTTACTCTTTCTACTATGTGTCACAAGACTTGAGGAAAGAATGACTTCAAAGTCGAGAAAAAACACTGAAAATCTCTACTTACATCCAAATTTTAAAAAATAAAATCTGTAGATTAACAATTAGATCATTGCTAAAGTGAAGCTTTGTTTAAAAATTATTTGATATAGCTATACCGGCACCTGTAATATGCTGCAGTGTTCTAGATCTTAAAAACTCATGAATTGTAACCCTGCTTTGTCCTGGCACAGAAGGTAATTGTACTATCACGTGAAAACATGATTAGGCAGTGGACATTTGTCAGCAAGAGTACTAAGTGCATCCGACTGAGTGATCAGTGCAGCAGGGCCACTCCTGTCCATTGGCATGGCTGGGCCACAGTTGGCTAGGGAAGGGTGACATGGAGACATTCGTGATTCTCAGAATCAGAGGCTGCTTTGCTGAATGATAGTTTATTTGCTGTCTTTACTTGAAGATATGCTTCTGGCTTGAAAAGGCAGAAATAGCAAAACACGGATGATTTTAAACCATAAAATATAACTAAATACTGAAATGAGAAGCACGTGTCCTGTTTCTACAGTCTGAATTTGCCTGTAGCAGGACTCTGGCTTGTCTTCCAATTATAACTGAACAGACCTGGCATTCTCCTTTGCACTTGGCCTTTGGGTTCGCTTTAGGCAGTACTTTCTGTCTCCTTCATACCAATTACTTCATTCCCTTGGGGAAAACATTTTAGAGAAGTTGAAACTAGCATTTTTAATTCTCCAAAACCACTTTTTATGTTATAGTTGTATATGCCCACACTGTCTGTGAACTGTGAACTTAAAAAAAGGTAGAAAATATACAAATGCTATTTAACCTTCCTTTATAAATGGCATTTTGATTCTCATATATTTGTACCTGACATCATCTCTATTAAACCAGTTTTATTCCTGAGATGAGGGTACAGTGAAAAAACACATTAGCATCATAGATTAAAACAGTGGTTTTCTAAAATGACAAATAATAAAAATTCCACCAAAAGCACCATGACAGGTATGAAACTCCCAAATAACTACAGCCCTAGGAAATATTTTTAATTCAAAAAATGTTCATAGTCTTTTATGTTACAAGAAAAAAAAAATCAATAAATTTTGACTATATCCTGCCTCATAAATCTGAGAATATGACACCTTTACATTAGCTTTCTGCTTTTATTGTTACCAGCTAAAACCCGTATGGCTTTTAGTCTTTTACCTACCCCAAAAGGGGGAAAAGGATCCTTCAAAGGCCCCAAGATCTTGAGAGAGATTTCCCGACTAAATTCTGCATTGACTTTTCCATAGATGAGGCACATCAGACTAGATTTCAACTGAACTGCGATTTCAACACTGTATATCCTGACTGAAATAACTTGAAGCTTAGTGTCATGAAGGAATGGCGGGGTGGGGTGGGGGGCAGGTGTAGAGACACATCACAGGGACCAGCTGTATAATTTTGCTAGTGAAACCGCCAATACTTTTTTTTTTTTTGAAATACTATTTTGAGTTTCCTAGAGATCTATTTACATTTAAGAATTGAGCCATCCATGGGTTCATAATGAAGCACATGTTTTAGAAATGTCTACCTTGTTTCTACTCATAGTGGTGTTTCTAACTGAGGGAGAGCTAGCTAGCCTACTTTAATGAAAAAGTACTATATTTTACAGCTGAAAACATCTGGGCACAGAGTATCGTTACTTTCTCTAGCCTTCCTCACTGTGTTTTCATTGTACCCTTTCCAGCTGTTTTCCCTCCATGGCACAGAGCTTCTTAACACCCTATTTCTCTTCCCACTTCGAATAAGTGAGGTCAGGCTAATGCCTATTTTGTGGGAAGGCTCTCGTACAGAGAGAAATGAGTAAAACTTTTGCCGCCTTTTGGAGTAGTAGTGGCGTGAATGATACAACCTAGAAACTCTTTTCCCCAGGGATTTAAACTGTTCATTTTCCAACCCAGAATAGAGAGGAGACAGATTCTCCATTCTGTATATCTGCTGCCCTGTGGAACCCAAATTAAAAGAAGTGGAAAACTCTCCAGCACCACTCCATTCAGGCAATGATGATGATTGAACTGATTTTTCCTCCATCATTAGCTCATTAATAAGATTTGCTTTCTTTGGTGCACCAGGACCAAACATTTCAACTGCTGGCAAAAACTGGGCACTGTGAGGTTTGCTTGCTTCTAATTGTGTGAGATCTAGGTAGCCTGGGTCTTCCAGCACGTTGATTTGGGACCCTGGGCTGAGGCTGGTTCTATCAGTGAATGAATCCACGCGCCCATCATAGCCTAGATCGGCTGGTGCTGAGCACTGGTGCTGAGGCCAAGGGCGTTTGCACTCTCCGTGATTCTCCTTATCATCCCCACCATCTTCTTGCCCTCCTTGAAAAGAGTTCTCTGTCCAATCTGATTCCTCACTAACATTTACAGCTTTGTTCATGTCCCTCAGGAATACCACAATAACCGTGATGTTATCACTTGACCCGGCATCACGAGCTGATGCCACTAATTTGTGGGCAACCATGCTGCTGTCTCCATTGTTCTCTTTCAAGTGGTCAGACACAACTTTCACTGCCTCGTCAGGGTTCACGGTATCATAGAAGCCATCACAGGCCAGAATGAGGTAATCTTCAGTCCCATCCAAGAGAGTGGAGGCAGAATCTGCATCCCCACAGATATATGGCTTATGTTCAGCATCTCCTGTGGGAATTAGAAAGGAGCGCCATCAGAAGGCAGACTGGGCAATTTAAGCAATTTAGTGAAATCCTGTCTAAAAATTAAAAAAAAAAAAATTTTAAAGGCTAGGGATATAGCTTAGTGCAAAGCCCCTGGGTTCAATCTCCAGTAGCATAAAATAAATTTTAAAAAATTATGGCCAATGTCATGACTCTGATCATAATTTAATTGAAAGAATTTATAATTTCAGATAAAACACTTAAGTTCTGTTAAGCAGGTGTTGCTTACATCTTAATTACAGTTAAATTATTACCGTTTATCAGACTAAGGTCTTTGTCTAGCATATACTGTGAAGCTTGTGCCTCTGGCTATCATTTAAGCCTTGCTGAGTATGATAAGGTAGATATAAATTTGTTGTACTAAAGAATTCAGTCCTACATAAGAAAGCTTTGTTGATTTAGTAGATTTGTTGTCTTGCTAGTGGTTAGGTTTTATTTAATTGCAACTTGAGTACAAATCCACTTGAAAAAAAAAAACCCAAAAGTTCTCATCATTCTCTTCATTAGACAGTTCTGTTCTTATTTAGAAGTCAATAAATAGCTTCAGACTGCAAGCACAAAGGAGGGTTTGCATTGCAAGAAATGTAAAGTATCAATTGCAACTCTCTCAAGCCAGGAACACTCGTGGCTTATCCAAGGCCTCCTATAGGAAACTAGAATGCAGATCTCTTGGTTCCCAGTCTCCTTGGCTTCTGTTTAATGCTGCTTTATTTTTTAACTTCTAAAGATAAAAAAATATATATGTGACCATCTTTTCTTGTCTTTAGAAATTATTACCACGTTCTTGATTTCTTCATATGTCTCTGATTAACCCTCTCTTCTGTCCTTATTGTTCATCCTCTCACGTATTAACAGCTGTGAGAACCCCCAAGGTCCTCCTAGGCCTCTTTTCTTGTTTAGTTCATTTACTCACAGAATCACATTTGAGCTGGGTCTTGAAATGTTACACTATCACCAGGCAGAGAAGGTCCTTCACTTGCGGGAACAGCATAAGCAAAGACAGAGGCTGCTGTTAGGGAGTGGTGTGTAATCAAACTGGAGACCCTGGACCCACACTAAGCTACAGCAGCTACTGAGATAATTGATCACCTGCAGTGCCTTTGGAACTTTCAGATCCAGAACACTACAGGATACATTCATTATTTATTTTCATTGTTTTGCTTTAGGTACCTGGAGAAAACCTAGCTGGTAGTGGTTAGGGACACCAGTACTGCTGTCAGACTGCCTGGCTCTAATCCTAGCTTGTTGCCTACACAACTGTCATTAATTACTGTCCTTTCCATTGCCCTAAAATGAACTTTTTGACTAGGGAAAGATAAACTAATTTAAGTGCCATGGCTGTATATTCACTGTTTCTGATATCTCTTCTAGGATCTCTGGTCCAAGAAAATTTTCTTTCCAACATTTCACACCCCTGTTTAATCCTTAGTAGGCTTAGGGGATTTAGTTCAGTGGTTCCACCGTCTGCCTCACTAGCACAAGGGCCTGAGTTTGATCCCTGGTACCAAAAAAAAAAAAAGGACCTATGGATAACTCCTAGAACTGATGTGAGCAACATGCACTACCTATCCAGCAGGTTGTATGACTGACAGAACACCAGACAAAAACCTGTAACAGCCTGGCATGGACTGTAATCCTAGCAACTCTGGAGGCTGATGCAGGAGAATTGCTGTGAATTAGAGGCCACCTTGGGCTACACAGTGAGTTCAAGGCCAGCCTGAACTACATAGCAAGACTTTATCTCAAAAACAAACAAACAAAAAAACATGACAGTTACTTAATAGAATGACTTAAGTTAGTATATCTGTACAGTAAGATACTAATCTTTTGACCCCTTTAAGTCTTCAGCTCTACTCCTATTCTCGAATGTATAACTCCCTCCTCTTATTCAGCCAGGCTCTCTTCCATTCATGCACTGTTTCTTACAATAGTCAAAACCATCTTCCTCAAGCATGGTTTTGATTTCATAAACTTCACTTCTTTACTATGATGCCTCCCAATAGCCTGTTAGAGCTAATTAAAACTTCCAATCATGGGATTCAGTGCCCTCCCCCAATCCACTTAATTTCCCTACTCTACCTGACTGAATTATTATTTTTAAAATTCCACCTCTAAAAATAAATGTGATCTGAGTCATACTGTTCCCAAAAGTTTTGTTTTAGTGCTACAATTAAAAGACTACTGCAACTGTTGGTTTGGAACAGAACATACAAAGATTTGCACAGAGAAAATGCTGCCAAAATTCTGGCTTTTCACCTGCTCTACTGTTGGTGTCAAATTCATGACATTTCGCCCCCAAATTTGGTAGGAGGGCATGGATACCCATTTCATGGTAGAAATGGCAACATCTCCTTGTCTGCAACCTCCTCTCTCCATATGCTGGGAAGCATCATGCTTCTGTCAACTTTGGATCATGAATCTGAAGGGCTCATGGAGAAAAACAATGGAAAAGCTTTTCACTCTCAAAACTTTATCATTTATTCAATGTCCTCAATTCCTGCACTGCCCCCAAGTTAAAAATTTTTTTTTTAAATTTGTAGAGATTCACCAAAGCCACTGCCATTTTCCCAAGTCAGAGGTGTCCCTTTTGCTTTTCAAAGCTGACCTGTGCTGTTGGTCATGTCCTTCTACATCTCTGGCTACTCTCATTTTCAGTTTTTCCTCTTCTCTCTCTCTCTCTCTCTCTCTCTGTTTTGTTTTGTTTTGGTACCACGGATTGAAATCAGGTCCTTGCACTTGTGAGGCAGGCAGCAGAACCACTGAGCTAAATTCCCGGCCCTACTCTCTTTTTAAACACACTCAAATCTAAAATTTCCTCATCCTAAAAACAGAAGCAATAAAAGCAACCTTTTCCCAAATCAGCTTTTCCCTCAAGCCATCACACTATTTCCTTTCTCCCTTTCACGATCAGACTGCCCAAGAAGCAATATCTGTTTCTGTGTTCCTTCTTGTTTTTCACCTTGTTTTCTATTACCCCTCCTAATCTATATTTCTTTCAAGTATCACCAATTATTTCCTAATTTTAAAATTCCATATCTGTTTAAACCCACTTCTCACTTGACCTCTAGCTCTCAACACAGTTAGCTATTTACTCCTCTAAAGCCTCTTTCTCTAATATCCGTCATATCCCACTTTACCTCTGGTCACGTCTTGATTTTCTTTGCCGACACAGTAACGCTAACACTCACTGTGTGCTAAATGTGCCAGACATGGCTGTAAGTATGGTGCGTGTGCTACTCTGTTTAAAGAGAAAGATTCCATGAGCTAGGTACGGTTCTTCTTCCTACTCTCCAAAGGAGCAAACAGACACTGAGAAGTGAAGTAAATTTCCTGAGGCCTGCAGCCTGTCAAGTACAGCTCCAGAGTCTGTCCACAGTATTCTCCCTCAAGTGATGAGTCCATGGCATCTCCACAAAACACGCATTCCCTGAGCAGTGTAACCCATGCCATAGTTTTGCTTCACAGTTTGCTGGCATCAGTGCCAAAATTGAATGAGTTCTCAAACCTCTGTCTCTAACCTAGAATTTTCCGCTAAGCTCCAGATGTGTATTTCCAACTACATATTCTCTTCCAGGTCATCCCATAGGTACCCAGAATATAAAATATGTCCCAGCAACTCATTATCTGTCTTCCTCATCCCCGACTGCTGCTGCTTTATATTACAAATGCTTTATTTTTCCAGTGACAAAAGTCAGAAACCTGGAAGGTAGCTTTCCTCTTCCCCACACCATTCTGTCTCATCAGTTATACCCTTTCCAGCTGTCCCCATCACTGTAACAGATGTATCCACAGCCTCCTGAATCATCTCCCATCTAGGCACTTTGTTGTCTAGTCCACCTTCTGTGCAGTATCTGCAGATAATCTCCAAATGCAAACCTGATTGCCAGGGATCTAACTCAGTGGTTCCGCCACCTGCCTTGCAAGCGCAATATCCCAAGTTTGATCCCCGGTACAAAAAACAAAACAAACTAACCTGATCATGTGGCCCTTCTGCTCATTCTCCTGGTAAAGTCCAGCCTCCCTGGGCTCAAATGTGAATGAAGCCCTTCACAGTCTAGTACAAACACTGTAAGTCTCTTAGCACGCACCCTCCACTCCAGCCTCCTCTACTTGTGACTATTCCTAACGTGTGCCACGCCCTTTCAAACTCCCAGATGTTTATACTTCTTTATGTACCTGGGATTTCCTTCCCTCAAAAGTCACTTCCTCTATGACATAGCTATCTTATTCTTAGACTGACTGTTTTCAGGGACGTGCTTCTGCTTCAGTTTCACCTTGTGTTATTTTTAGAATCAAGAAAAGATGTATCCTCTAGTAAGTTTGTGTTCTAAAACAAGCATTAAAGATAACCCTCAATCTGACAAAGACAGATGAGACCAAGAAAAAGAGGTCTTCGGTTAGAGTTGTCAAAAATAATTCTACATAGGAATATCTTTTGGAAATGAGAATTTCCCCTTTTTGGCCTTATTCCAGAATTCCTAGTATCTCCCTCAATGTAAGTAAATTATCAGTTTTTTAGGAGGTATTTGTAGACTCTTAGCTATTTCTCTTTGAGCCTTCTGCTGCTCTATTTGGGCCACTTCACAGCTTGCCAACACCTCCCCGAAGAGTGAGAGGAACTCAAATCAGTGGGGAAAGTAAATCATTCTTTTAAGATTTTCTTACTGTTCTGGAGTGTTTTGGTAATAATAAACTAAATTGGGAAATTAGATGTGAATTCTATCCATGCTAAACCTAGGTCCAATTACTCCATTTCTTTAGGGAGGCAAAGTTTAAGAATGACACAGTACATGTTCATATCACCTTTGAAGGTAGACAATGATTTAGTCTTTTAAAAATTGGGAAGTGAAGGCAAAGTAGAAAGCATAAAGTATAGACCCAAGGCCTAAAGTGAGACAAAAACAAATAGCTCAATTCTTTGAATTTATACCCTTGCATTTTTTCCAATCAGCTACTTAATCTCTACATTTTTGACAGTTTCATTGACTTTCACTTTCTTTTAAAAAATTAAAGTCCTGGCGAGACAAGTTATTTGAAACCCAGGGTTATCTGACAAATTATTGTAGTCCACTTTTGAAAAGTAGTTTTCATATTAAATACAATAATATCTATGAATATTACATCATTTTGAAGTTCTTTTAAATAGTGTAAAGATATTAAAATATAAATATGGATAAAATATAAGGACAACCTTCTGTTCTCTGGAAAATACTGATTTAAGCCAAATATGCCAAAAATGGAATGAAATGAGGATTATTATAATTTAAGATTTGTATACTAACAAAAACTTCTATTAAAAAAACATATAAACTATTAAATCTGGCATTTCTTGTTATAGCTCCCTTTTATAATGGAATTTAGGCATATAAATAGATGTCATTAAATAAGAAGAGGCATTATCCAGTTGTTATTTGAAACATAATACGCATTCTAATACTATAAATCATCTCAGGCTCCTGTGTTTCAGTTACTGTGAGACAGTGAGCTAGAAGAGTACAGTTTGGAGAAACAAAATTAATTTGTTTTTCCTACCTATAGCTCTGGAGACTGACAGACTTCCATTGACCCTCCAGGCACCAAACCAGACTACACAACCTCCAAGGGCCTCAATTCGCTGCTTTTCATCCTAAACAGCGACGCAATAAAAAGAAGCAAATAACTGGATTCAAGATTTATTCATCTACTTTAACAATTAACAACAACAGATAAAATACTCATCAGCTTCCTAAAAAAGTTCTCTGTATGCTTCCTTTGGAAGGTGGGCAGAGTGGCTGAGATTAAGGGCAATAATTGAGTGTATCCTAAGTAATCCCTAGAAAACTGCCTTTCTGAGATGTGTTTTAATAGAAGAAACCATACTTACCTCTCTGTCTGGTTTATGTGGTTTCATTAGTTCAACGGCTTGGCCTTTTCTCACGAGCATAACCTGGGAATCACCCACCCAGGCCACGTGTAGCATGTTGCCTCTGATAAAAGTCACCACTCCTGTGGTCCCACATCTTAAGCTCTGAAAATAGTTTAAATAATTCTAAAGTAAATGAAAAGAACCAGACACCAAAATCTCATTGAGAAGCAATTTATAATAGAAGCTTTCTGTGTAGGAGGCAGACTATAAGGGAAGACCAAAAGATGGTAAATGTTTGAATTTTTAAGTTTATCACAGTAAAAGACACATTGCCACTAATCCCCTCAAAATATTCCCCTTGCTTCAGACACACTTATCCCATCGTTCTTTCACTTTCTGAAGCAGTTCTGCAAGTACTTCTGTGAGCATCCTTATGGTGAAGGCTGCCGCTGAGTGCCATCCAATAGAAAGGCAGGGCTGACAGAAGCATTACTGTGTGTTCTCATCCACCTCATTCAGCAGATCTGGCACTGTGTGACTTGGTTCTTTCCCAAAGTCAAATTGACCGTGAAAGGTAAACGTTTCGAATCAAGTCTTAGGGCATTGAGGCAGCTATGGCAACACAACTAGATTCACAAAAGAGGATTTCCACAACTGCTTTCGGCAGTGGCAAGGATGTGAGATACGAGTGTTCCAAACCGGGGCTGGGAGGTGGCATTTGAGGGGAGTTAATGGCAGTGTGTCTTAACTGAAAAAAAATTTAATTAAATATTCAATCACATTTTTATACTTCATATTAATACAGTTTCAGAAATAGCAATCTGTTTCGCAGTGTAGTCTTGTATGTACATAAATCTATCTGATCTGTGATACACTAGACGGGGATGATTATTAATTCCCTGTTAAATGCAGAATTTAAAAACTGGCAGGTTATGTGACTTGTCCAAGGGCAAATAATTGATTATACAGAATAGAACTAAGATTCTTTTGCCTTTCCGTTCATTACTAAACCCCCTAAATCAATCCTTAAAGATTTCTGTGTTTCATTACTAACCTGCTATATGTTCAGTAGGATGTCCTAGACATACAAAATAATACATAAAGGGCTGGGGATTTGGCTCAGCGGTTCCACCGCCTGCCTCACGAGTACAAGGGCCTGATTTCGATCCCTGGTACCAAAAAACTAAAAAATAATAATATATTAAAGCACTTGTTTGGTATACAACAGATGCTCCCAAGATAAGAGGCCCAGAGATAGCATGCATTCCCTACTGTACTAAGATGCTTATACCTTTAAAAATAATACCTTCCCTACCATACTTTTAGAGATCTTTGTTTTTGGAACACTGAACTAACAGCCTGGAATTTCACTGCAGTAGCTACCTCTGTACTTAAAGCTTTTGATCCAACTATACTGAAATGACATCTCCATTTGACATGAGTCACCACCAAATGAGCATGACTTTCTGTTACTAAGGACCTGGCCTAAATTAGAACCAATGCGTCAGGGGTGGTAAAGGGCCTCTTGTATCCAATAAGAAAAACAACTTCTTGTTTTTCCTATATAGGGAAAGTTTGTTATAAATCCTCACCCACCAATAAAATGTCTTCCCACACAGAATGTTCAAAAACTCAGCCCTCTGGATCACACGATAAAGACACTGTGGTGCATATGCCCCGGAGAGAACAGGAGGCAGGGCTGCTGCACAACAGGAATAGCTACTTTCCCCCAGCAGTGAGCAGCACATGGCAGTGCAAGACAGAGCAAAGCAACTGCTGAGACAAACTTAAATTATTCAAGGGAACTGTTGGCAGAACTGAGAGACACTAGGACCCTGACAAAACCAATGAAGTTAATGGGTGGGGAGCACGATTTTGAGGAGATAAAAGGAATAGGAATAAACTAGAGAATGAAAAAGACAAAATGATTCTTTTTGCTTCACACTGATGATTACAGATCACCTATTAGGGTCTTTTCCTCAAGTCGGAATTCGAGAGCCAGCAACTTCAAGAAAGACAGCCAAGCAGAACACTGATGCTTAAGAGATTGGGAAGGGCTCAGGCAAGAGCTGTATTTTATTTTCCAGCCTGCTTCAATATGTAGTGGTTAACTTACTGAATGTGCATAGTAAACCAAACTTGGGGCTGGAACATACATACAGAGTATTTCTTTCAACACCAAATATTTCTGGATAACTGTTTCATTAATTCTAAGCCCCATTTTAAAAAACATAAATGTAAGTCATGTGACAGAAATGTTATCTTCTGTGTATCTAATTTCGTAATTTTAAAAATTAAAATGTATTTTTTCTATAGGCCTTCAGTTAAAAATCCAGTATACAGTACTGTAGTTAATTATGTGCTGATGCCCAGAATGATAATTAAATTTTTTTTTACTTTTAGATCTTTTTATAGACCCATGAATTTCATTCAGAGTAAAAACACTTAGGTCTGATTAATGTTAAATTCTGACTTTTTTTTCCTTTTAAGAGAAAATCAAACCGCCAGGCGTGGTGGCGCACACCTGTAATCCCAGCACTCAGGAGACTGAGGCAGGAGGATCACTGTGAATTCGAGACCAGCCTGGGCTACATAGTGAGTTCCATGTCAGTCTCAACTACACATAGTGAGACCCTGTCTCAAAACAACAAAAACAAAAACAAAAACAAAAAAAACAACAACAACAGGAAAATCAAGAATCATCTAAAGATTCACACCCTCCCCAAGGAAATTTTCCCTCAAGAGACACACAGCAAACACTGCCTACCCATTTAGAACCAAATGTATGGAAATTATCCCAGTTTCTGTTTCTTTTTAAAAACTATTGCTTTTGTTTTATATTCATCATATCCAGATCTTGTCAGCAAGAGTACTTAAGAGACACGGTCCTGCTGTGAACCTGACAAGCGACAGGGAATAAAAGAAAGATAAAACTCACCTTCCAAACCTAGCAATGATTATAGAAATGAATCCTGAAAATCATAGCTTCCAAGTCTCTATACAGTACATCACTGTACCCCTCTAAGACTATTTCTAAGGAGGGAATTAGATACAGAACTACAACAGAATCCAACACTGTGGGTCAAGACAACACAGTTCGGATAATGCCTGCCCAGAAAGAAAAAAGGAAAAGAGCTCTTCAACCACATAGAGCCTGGTGTGAGCTCCTCTGCCTTCAGAGACGGAATGGAAGAGAAGGTGGCCTACCTCCCTGGCTGCCTTCTGCACAAAGCGCTCATCAGTGACCCGGAAGGCCCGGCAGAGAGCCTCGGCGGGGTCATGGGGGAACATCTCCTGCCGTACTAGGTTAACGTGTAAGTGAATGGAAGCATAAATGGCAGCATCCACTCCCCCGTGGCCATCAAACACTGCAAAGTAAGCTTGTTCTTCTTGGTCCTGTCAATACAAACAGAACAGTTAAGGGGTTGGTACCGTCCGATTCCTCCTCCTCCTCTACTGCCTTTGTTGCTCAGGTGATGAGTCTGTTTCCCCTTTCTAACATGCCTGATACACTGCTGAAATACCTGCAGTAATTGGGCATCTGTGTTCACACACAGAGCAGTGGAGCACACCATGTCCAATTAGCTCAGGCTGAAGCGCCCTCTCTCTCTGAAAGTTGTCTTATACCATGGAAACCACCCACATACATTTGCTTCAAAACTGCTGTTACAAGTTTTGGGGAAAGGGGAAGAAAGAGAAGGTATGAGGTAGAATACATATTTGGGTTTTGTTTGTTTACAAAACAACACATTTAAGAGTTGGGGATTTAGCTCAGTGGTTCTGCTGCCTGCTCTGCAAGAGCAAGGTCCCAAGTTCGATCCAGTACCAAAGGAAAAAAAATTTAATATGAAAAACCGTACATATACACTTATCTCATGATCCCTCAGCTTACGAAGTTTTAAACTAGAATACCTTCTTTATAAATTATTCATGGTCACATTGACTTCTCACTATACGTAGCACAGAGTCTCTAAACTACTTAACCAAACTTGAACCACATCAGAGGTCCAAATGCCTTGTATGCCCCTCAACTCTGCTTCACCCTGTGACAAAGATTTCATTTCACACTGTCTCACAAAGGCCACCTGCCAGGGAAAGGTCTTCCAGTCTTTTGCTCTGCCTTGACAAAGAAAGCCTAATAAGCTTATACGTCAGCCACTAAATACGTAGTCTGCTTTTTCATCTTTGGCTCAAGTGTTTCAATCTCAGATCTGTCTTCCTTAGGGGATCAGTGACTCACTCAGGTCTTACAGAGTCCCGAGCTCCCTTTAGGCAACAGTAAGTAATGATTTTCATTTTTAAATCTGTTCATTTTGCTTAGGCTTCCAGGAGCCACAGAGGAGTTCAGGCCCTGTCACTGATTCTTGGAAAGATCATATTTTCTCTGGTTTCTCTGTGTTAGGTAGAGACAAGTTGCTATCTCATGGTGATTTGAAGGAATACTAAAACAGGTTCTTTTTTTAGCAGTACCGGGGATTGAATTTAGGACCTTGTGCTTGCCAAGCAGGCATGGCACCACTGAGCTACATCTCCAGCCCCAAACAGGTTCTTTTAAACAAAAGTACCAACTATGAATGCCTACTGAATTATAGTAACAGCCAAATAATATGAAATCTACATCTAATGTAGACATCATAAATGTCCATGTTGCAATTGAAACAATACCACCTATAGTGCTGTTGAAGACTACCGTTAAATAGAACTGTCTAGAAGTAATCCTGACATGCAGAATTTCTATCTGTACTTAAGCAGTAATTTTTTTTTTTTTTTTTTGTACTGGGGATCCAACTTAGGACCTGTGTTTGTGAGGCTAGCATGGTGCCACTAAGCTAAATCCCCAGCCCTAAGCAGTATTCATTTGTAAACAACTAAGTTTAGTATTAGAAAAAAATATAAGGGGGCCAAGTAGATTTCTTTTAAATGGCTTCTTATCTTAAAAAGAGACATGTTAGGGCCAGGGATTTAGCTCAGTGGTTCCCTTACCTGCCTTGCAAGTGTAAGGCCCCAAGTTTGATCCCCAGTACCCCCCCCAAGAAGAAATGTATTGATGTTTTCCCTATTATAATAATGTATGATAATTTCTGAAAATAAAAGAAGTGTAAAGGAAATGAACATCACCTATATTTCTACCATCCATAGATAACCATCAATTATAGTATCTGTTTTCTTTTTGTTTTTCTAGTGCTTGGGAATAAACCCAGGGCCTTGTGCCTGCTAGGCATATGCTCTACAACTGAGCTATACCTCAACCCTATACATCTATATTTTTAAAAATAAAATTAGGGGGCCGGGGATTTAGCTCAGTAGCACCACACCTGCCTCTCAAATGCAAGGTCCTGAGTTTGATTCCCTGGTACTGAAAAAAATAAAATAAAATTAGAAACATGGTGTACATAAAATTTACGTCCTCTTTATTTCATTTATAGTATCAATAGCATTTCCCTATGCCACTAAATATTATTTGAAGACATTACTCTTAAAGGCTTATGTATCTTATGAACATAAGATGTTACCATTTTCTTTAATGAGTTAGGTTATTTCAAATTTTTTATTAACCAAATTGTGTAAGACTTTATGGAAGACTTTCTGCACTTCTGTTTCCTTATAATAAAGAATTAGAATGAAATTATCAGATCAAAAGGTATGAAAATTTACAAACCTCTAAATATTTGTTGCTCAGTTGCCCTAAGCTACTCCTTTATGGGTTAGGCCTCTAGGCTAATTTTTAAATTTGAAGGCAAAATAAAAACCAAGTCATCAGCCAGCAATAAAGCCCTCAAATATGAGTATAATCTTCAGGTAGGTATAATACTACAAGGACTGTTTATCACATCACCTTTGAGTTAGATTTGCATGGGTATGGTGCTGGAAACAAAGATGTCAGGTAATATCTTTATAAGCACCAATTACCAGCCTGTCATCACTGATTAGACCTTGACAGCTACAAGTTAAATTCAGCAGCTAAATGAAGGAAATATTGTGATTTGTATAAATTACTACATTGTAATTTTTAAGTTATGGACTTCAATGAAGAAAAGAGGTGAGTGACAGGTGAAGGAAACAAATCTACCTCTGTTTGCGTGAACATAATGCACTTAATAGAAAGGGAAAGGAAGATATCAAGAAAATGGTTATTAAACTGACAAGACTTATATGGATCCAATTTGTCAGTCACAAAGATTCATGAAATGTAATTCCAACCACTTTGCTATCTCAGGCACCAAGATTTTAAAGAGAAAATCACATGAAATCAAAAGACTGTCTCAGCCTTTAATGTATTCTTTTATGTGTGCATTTTATATTGTGGGAACTTAGTAAACATGATTTGATTATACTATAGAAATATTTTCCCTTACAAAATAGCTTTTTTGAAATCTGATAGCTTTCTTTTTTACTTACATGTTTATAGAATAGCTCTAAAAGCTTACACAAGAAACTGGTAACTTTCCTTGCCTTCATGGAGGGGAACTGAGTATCTGGGCAATAAGTGATTTTTTATTTTCAAAATTTTGAACCTTGTGAACCTATTAAAATAACGTATTGGTCCCAGTTTTTTATTTGAACTTATGCAAATAAAACAAAATAGTTCCTTGTGTCACATTGCAGTCAGTCCTTCTGTAACTTACTACAGATGCTATTAGAAATACATAGTTCTCCTTTTCAAGCAGGACAATGAAGGTGTTTGTTTTTTAAATCTCACTGGCTCTCCAAAAGTGCCTTTTACCTCTAGGTTGAAGAGCATATTGAAGTCAGGAATGCAGACATGTTTGTCCTCCATTTTCCTGCGCATATTTTTGATGGCATGGATTGATGTCTCATAATAAAGCTGGGGTCTCCTGCGGAGAGGGAATTCTTTCACCCAGCTGCAGCAAATCTCGTGTAGTTTGCTGAAGACAGAACGGGCCAATTTCACTGTCTCAATCTCTGTGAAAGAAACACAGAAACCCCCAATAAAGAGCCTTGTAAAACTGCTTTTCATTCGCCTGCTTAATAAAGACAGAAGTAGGTCACCTTAGTCAAGTTCCTCCTTAATAGAAGAAATTCATCTTCCTCAAGAAAAATGAAATACTGTTTCTGAAGAGAGAAAACGACAGCCTCTCTACTAGAAAATTATCAGCCAGCAGCTGCCACTAAGATACCCTTATGTCATGAGGAGAAAACCTTGGGCCAAGTCCGGACCGATTCTAGGGCTTGATACCTTCAGACACTGGCCCCTGCGCTCTAGTTGAGAGTACCCATTCCTTTTTGGTTGGCTGCTATGGTTACTACTTAGAGAGCCAAGCCTCCTAGGCTTAGAAGAAGGACTGAAAGATGAATACTGGTTATCCAGCTAATTGGAATCAAAAAGGCCTATGAAAACAGCTTGTTTAAAAACTACAGGAATAAGTTTACCTTCATTACCATTTGTTTGTGTCCCCTTCTTTCTTCCTGATCTCTTCTTTTACAGTTTCCTAACTTTTCTCTCTCCTGTAAATGATCATCATTTGGAACTGAGTTACATATTTTTCTATTTGATATATTTATTAAGACTAGCTAATAGCCACTAGGTTAACTAGTAAGTTAAAATTTTTTATATTATATAAAACTTTTATTTGTGCAACCTTGGATAGAAAAAGGCAGAGAGTAAGTGGAGGAGCGATAGTAATGGGATTCTTCACCACACGTGTACCACCAGACCCCCTCAGAGGTCACACAGACTAGCTGGCACCCCCTGGAAGACAGAGCAGTGTGTAAGCCTCCTCAGCAATGCTGGATGGAAGGGGAGAGACTGTAACTCAGACCACTTAACCCTCCACTCAAGGTGTCCTCAAGTTGGAAAGTACTGAAAGAACCCTGGGGAGATAAGGCTTTTAGAAGCTCCTCCTACCCTCAAAAAATTGTTTTACTTTTACTAAATCAGATGTAGCTTGACAGCCTGAGAAAATAGGTGCCAGATGGGCGATGGCTACAGATGCCTCCTCCAATCAAGAACACAGCCTCAAAGAAGAGAGACTATATGTTCCTGAACAGCCTGGGAACTTGGACTCTCGTTTTTTATCCCTGTCTGCCTTTGCCTTAAGCTGTGACTACATTTACCTATTTTCTTATGCAGAACTGTCTTTTCAATGACTATATTCAGAAAGCTGATCCCAAGTTTTCTTTTTTTTCCCTGTTAGCATAGTACAGGGTAGTAAATCCTGTTTTGTGGTTTTTGTTGTCTCCCTTAATAATTTTATATAACTGAAACCAAGGGAACACTTGAAAGAGAAATGAAGTTCAAAGAGCAAATTCAGCCTCAGGTACGTACAAGAAGAACAGCCCAGCTGAGACTATGGGGTTGTCTAACAGTATTTTGACTGTTTTGAGCCCTAGCTGCCACGGCTTTGTTTTGTTAGTGCTGAGGGTGGAGCCCAGGACCTCATGCACACCAATGAGCCACATGCCCAGCCTAGAGACTTCCTTTCATCCAGCAGTCACCTGCTGGGACCACTGTCTCCAGTCTGGTGTCTGGAGCAGGAGAGGCCTCCAGATGGATGTGTCTGCATTTGACTCAGTCACTTCAGAGGATTACAAAACAAGTGAATTCAGAAACTTCAAGGAAGAATGAGTGTTAAAAAACAAAAAACAAAAAACAAACCCTGATATTAACTGTTGGGTAGTTTCCAAATTCCCAGATAATAATATAAACCATTATATCATTCTTTGGTTTATGTATTACCCTTATTATAGAGACCTTAACTATCCAAGAAGATAGCTGCTAACTACTTGAGGCTATTTAAATTAAATACTTTTTTTTTTTTTTTGGTTTTTTGAGACAGGGTCTCACTATGTAGTTCAGACTGCTCTGAAACTCACTATGTAGCCCAGGCTGGTCTCAAACTCACAGCGATCCTCCTGCCTCAGCCTCCTGAGTGCTGGAATTACAGGCATGCGCCACCATGCCTGGCTCTAAATATAATTTCAATTTCAACTTTTTGGTCACATTACCTCTACTTTTTTTTTGGTACCGAGGATCGAACTTGGGATCTTGCACTTGCCAGGCAGGCAGCGGAACCACTGAGCTAAATCCCTTGCCCTACATTACCGATATTTCAAGTGCTCACTCAATAACCACATGTGGCCAGTGGCGACACTGAGCAGCACACATAAGGAAAGTTTACATTATTAGAATCTGTTGGGCAGAGCTGACAGCCATTAGATTGGCTAGGGGAAGGAAGCAATAGCAGTTTGGCCTAATATTTAGTAACACAAAGATTGTCCATACGCCCTCTCTGTCACTCATGCCCTTATGTTCCCACTTTGTTCACCTCATCTGTTATAGCAACCACATTATATAGCATGGGTTTTTCCTACATTCTCTGTCTGTAGAATATTTCACAAATTGATAAAATCATTCTTTCTTCTCTTTTTTCCCCTCCTCGAGGAGCTAGGTATGGAATCCAGGTCCGTGAGCGACAGGCTAGGCAAGTGCTCTACCACTGAGCCACACTCCCAACCCAATTCTCCCTTTTTTGAGACAGGCCTCCCCGCATTGTTCAGGAAGGCCTTGAACCTGTGATCTTCCTGCTTCAGCATACTGTACAGGATTAGAGGAATACTCTACCACAAGTATCTTCTCCATGTTTAATCATTGTATTCCTGATAATTTTATCCACTGGCTATTTACAATCAAAACTTTGCTTTAGTGTGTTATTTGCTATCTAGCAAAATGTTCTTTTTTACTCTTAGTCCAAATGTATCTTGGGGTAAAACGTGATTCAGCTAAAGAATTGCATTCCTCCCATCACAATGAATGATTTGGGGATGGAAAACTATCCAAATTTGGCCAACTAGAGTGATCCTGGGACTGATAGAGTAAGAACAACTGAGAAAAACTATTCCTGTTTTCCTGCTCAATTTGACTCTGGGCAAATGAAGTCATAGTGCTCCTAGCAGTCATCTTGTCAGCACATGAAGCCTGGTAATCAAATCAAAGTGCAAGCCAGTACAGCTGGAGTTGTAGAAATGCCGAGTTCTGTCGACAGCATTTCAAGGCAGCTGTGTGGCTCTTACACTGTTTTGCTGAAGCCAATTTAAGCTGTGTTTATGGTCATAGCAAAAAAACTCAGGAGTATATAATGGTAGGTCGTCAATAAATTACTCACTGAATGAATGAAATATTGTACTTATGTACAGTTGTGAGGTGAGTTTTGGTTTTGTTGCAGTACTAGGGGTTGAATCCAGGACGACCTTTTTTTTTTGGTGACAGAGTCTGAATAGTTTGCCAAATTGCCCAGGCTGACCTCAAGCTCAAGGTCATGTTTTTTCTGCCTCAGCCTCCTATCATGCTGGGATTACAGGCGTGTGCTGTCACACCTGCTCTTAAGCAGGTTTTGGTATAAGTGTTATGCAAATATTTTTTCTCTGTGCAATTAAACATTCATTAAAAAAGCATTGAGATTATCTCTTTGAAAACATTCCCCTAAAGAATCATTCCATGTGCTTTTGTCCTTGATAATTTTTAACATCTTTTCTTAGGTAAACTTTGTTCATTTATATTTTTCTAGAAAATATCCAGATTTTCAAATTTCCTTACACAAGTATTTATAATTCTTTTAATTTTTTCTATATTAGTGACAGTTTTCCCTTCTTGGGTGTTTTTTTATTTTGTTTTGCTTTTGCTTGGTGTGTGTATGGCCCTGGGCATTACTCCCAGGGCCTCTTCACTGAGCTACATCCTCAAGCCATTTTTATATTTATTTTAAAAATTTTGACACATGGTTTATTATGGTAATTTATTGCCTAAGCTGCGTTTGAACTTGCAGTCCTCCTGTCTCAGCCTTCTGAGTCCTAAGATTATAGGAGTGTGCCACCATGCTTTGGTTCCCCCAGTTTTAATTTTCGTTCAGTATTTCAAATTGGTTTTAGGCATTCTGGACAGGAGTTTACCTACCAATACAATTTGTAACAAGTCAGATTTGCAAGGTCACTTAGTAAACATTGTCTTAGGAATGACATACGCATGAAAAGAACTTTAAAGGTTTTTTCTTAAAGTCTGTTTTTGGAAACAACTAAGTAGAGGGATAAAAAGGCATTTCTGTGGGGAAGTTCAGGGCCTTATGCACCAATGACTACGGGCCATATTTGGTGTGTCATTCCCCACACTGATGCACAGGTAAACAATATCTTTTTTGTAGATATTCTTCCAAAGTGCAGTTGACACTGAATGATTTGGGCTAAGCGATAAGGATTTGAAAATAGATTCGAATTTTAGTATAGTCTGAATCACGGCAAGCATGAAGATATTACTGAGTAATCTCTTGGAAAAATACAAAATCAGAATGATCGATGATATCTATCAAACCACAGGCCTTTCAGTTCCCATTGCTATCTTATGGGGTTCTGAAAATTCTTCCAAAGTAGGCACAAAGGCCAGCCCTTCGATCTTGCTACATTAAGTAGTCCCCTGTAGCGAGTGGTATGGGACACCAGTATATAAATAACTGCCACATGAAATGGAAAAATAAAATAAAAAGGGGGCGTGAAGAAGTGAAAGTCGTCCCAGTAGCTGCCCACCCCCTCACAGCTGTACATTACTCATCAGTCGTTAATGTCATTGTACTGAGCGGGAGCTGAGTCAGCCGTCACCCTGGCTGCAGTGAGGCAGAACTGAATCTCTCCCGTCTTTTCACTACATGCATCAGCTCCAGAGGAAAGACCAACACTTTGTAGCAGGGATTCTATCAAACTTGACTCCGGAACGGTTCGGTTCCAGGTGAATAAATTACTCTCAGTAAAAACAGAATAATTCCTTCCCTGACAGTTTTCTGTCAAAATCTAGAAAGCTAAAGGAAGAGCAGGAATGTTTATTTTTATCTTCTTCACATTGTCAGGAATCTAGCTATTCCAGTTCATCAATAAATGCTGTATTCCTTAGGTACTATGTTTATGGCAAATGCTTTAAACAGAACAAATAACTTCTTTAAATTTCTAGGGCCAGGGATTTAGCTCAGCGGTTCGGCTGCCTTCCTTGCAAGTACAAGGATCCAAGTTTGATCCCCTGTAACCCCCCAAAAAGAATTCTAGGTAGTAGGCTGGGGATGAAGCTAAATGGTAGAGGACCTGCTTAGCATGCAAGTGGACCTGGATTTCATCCCCAGGACCAAAGGAGGTAATTTTTATAAATCTTTAGGTCCTATCCAATATGTAAAAGCCTAATACATTAATAAATATGACTTCATCAAGAAATTAAGGCTGGGTGTGGTGGCACACGCCTGTAATCCCAGCACTAGGGAGGCTGCAGCAGGAGGATCCCTGTGAGTTCCAGACCAGCCTGGGCTACATAGTGAGTTCAGGTCAGCCTCAACTACCTAGTGAGACCCTGTCTCAAACCAAAACAACAAAAAAGAAATTGAGTCCTAGATGGGTGTGATCCCAGCACTTGGGATGCTGAGGCAGGAGGATCACTGCGAGTTCGAGACCTAAGAAAGAAATAAATTGAGTCTCTCTCCAGTGTGGTGATGCCTCTCTGTGTACCCAGCTACTTGAAAGGCTGAGGCAGCAAGATTAGAAATTCAGGGCCAGCCTGGGTAATTTAGTAAGTCTCAAGATAAAAGGGCTGGTACTGTGCCTCAGAGGTAGAACTCTTGGCTAGCATGTGCAAGGCCCTAGGTTCAATCCCCAGTACTTTAAGAAAATTGAGTCTCTCTCCAGTGTGGTGATGCCTCTCTGTGTACCCAGCTACTTGAAAGGCTGAGGCAGCAAGATTAGAAATTCAGGGCCAGCCTGGGTAATTTAGTAAGTCTCAAGATAAAAGGGCTGGTACTGTGCCTCAGAGGTAGAACTCTTGGCTAGCATGTGCAAGGCCCTAGGTTCAATCCCCAGTACTTTAAGAAAGAAGAGAAAAGAAAGGAAAAGAAAGAGGGCAGGGGATTTAGCTCAGTGGAGCTAGGCCTGCCTCACAAGTGCAAAGTCCTGAGTTCGATCACTAGTACTAGAAAAGAAAAGAAATTGAACCTCATAATCATCTTGGAAAAATAAGATGTTCATCTTATGATCTATGCAATTAAACCACATCTTACATATCTGTCATTTGCTCTATTTATTTTTAATTATGGAATTTAATATAATTAAGGTTTCTTAAATTTTCTTATTTTTACATCTGACTTTTTTACTTGGATTTGTAAAGCAAAGAATTTTAAATAGATTTGCTCAACTGCTCTACAGTTATCCACTATCTCCTTTGTTGTGTATTTATCATCCCCTTTTTCCATTTATCTAGATATTATTCATGACAATTTCCTGTTGTTCCAATTACCTTCTATATACAGTACTACCGTTCAAAATTCATATTTCATCTTCTTCCCACTTTTTATTGATTTATTGGAAAAAGTTGTCTTTTTTCCCCTACTAGTATTATATAATCACCTGCTGGGTAAATGCAATTGGACATGGAATTTTACAGATAGTTTCTATGGACCACTACATATTAGAAGATTTTAGTATAGAACAGCAAACAAGGTAGAAAGGTACGCACCCACAGTCCCTTCTGAGCCCTCAGTCTCCTTAGGGATGTAGTGTGCAGAAAGATCACTCTGAAGGACTTCATCTGAGGTGGCTCTGGCCAAAGCTGCAGCCAAAAAGGAAGGGCAGTTACTGAAAGAGAAAAATAAAAGACCATGTTCAGTAAGAATTAGGAAGTCATACATTTATTATTATTAATAATTTTCATTAATTATATTATCTCAAAACAAAATTATACCTTTAAACAGTATCTATTGAGAGCATAGTATGTGGTACTGGTGTACTGGTGAGTAACACAGAGATGACTCCTGACTGAGGGGTAAATTTTATAAAGAAACAAACAGAAGACAGGCCTGGTGGTGTACACCAGTAATCCCAGCACTCAGGAGGCTGAGGCAGGAGGATTGCTGTGCATTCCAGGTCAGTCTCAACTACATAGTGAGACCCTGTCTCAAAAAACAAAACAAAAGAAACAAACAGAACATAGTGACAGAATAATAGAGGTGTAACCTACTTAGAATAGTCAGGAATGCCATACTTGAAGGATAAAGACTCAGTCATGTGGAAGTGGTAAGTCAGGAGAGAGCACCTCAGGCATACAGCCTTTATGAGAGGTTGGTACATGAAGGAACTGAAGCCCCGTGAAGGTAAACATAAAGGCAAGGGGTACAGCGGCAGGGATAAGGCAGAGGGACAAACCAGGCCAGTCACATGGGCCCTAGGCAGCAGGATTGAATTTTACTCAAAAGATAATGAGAATTCACAGACAATTTTGAGCAAAAGTGTCACAGCCACACATATGAATGAAGACTATTTTGACTGCTGTGTCAAAGGAAATTAGAGATGAGCAAGAATGAAGGAGGATGACCAGTGAAGACACTGTTCTAGTCCAGGTAAGGAGAAAAAGTGAACATATTTTGGAGAAAAATAATACAGAACTTGCTGTTTATTGGATATAATGATGAGAGAGACAAGAGCAGAGAGGGGCACAGAGGGGCGGAGGAAAGGGGAGAAGAGAAGAGGACTGAGCCTTGGATTTTGGTCTGAGCAACTGAGTGAAATGGTAGAACCATCTACAATGATGGGGAAACCAGGAAAAGAACAGGTTAGTAGAGGAAATGGGGTAAAAGTTAATTTTTATTTATTTATTTGGTACTGAGGATCGAACTTGGGACCTTGAGCTTGTGAGGCAGGTGGCAAAACCACTGAGCTAAATCCCAGGCCCTTAAAAGTTAATTTTTAAATGTTAGGGTGGAGGCCAGGTGTGGTGGTGCACACCTGTAACCCCAGAACTCAGGAGGCCGAGGCAGGAGAAGTACTGTGAGTTTGAGGCCAGCCTCAACTACATAGGGAGAACCTGCCTCAAAAAATAAATATTGCTGCTTGTCTTGCAAGTGCAAGGTCCCCAGTTCAATCCCCAGTACCTAAATAAACGAATAAAATGTTAAGTTGAAAATATTTGTGAGATATTTTAGTAAAGGGATAAAAAATGGTCAAGGGGACATTCTCATAGTGTGGAAGTCATGAATGTATGGATGGTGTTTAAAGCTACAGAAATAAAAAGGATCTCATAGGAGAAATAGAAAAAGATAATTGCTCTAGATCAGTGACTTTATGTACCTCCTAGTTTCCTTTTCTTGAAATGGGAACATTATCCTAAGGCTCACCACTGTATAGTGGGAAAGTGAGTATTTGCCTCTTTAATTCATGTTTTCAGGTCAAGAACTTCAGTCAAGGAGTTGTAATCAAGAAATTGTGCTCAGAGGATCTCATCTGCACCTAGGCCTGTCCTCTTCCTCCTTGAGATCTCAAACCTCAAGCTTGGGTCTGAAAACATAATGGGGTGAGATCTGGGGAACCTTAGAGAGGGTGAGTAGATGGGAAGGATGTAAAGTGTGAGGCCAGAAAATATTGTGGTGGAAGTTTCTTTCTCTTTCTCTTTTTTCTTTTTTGTGGTACCAGGAATTGAACTCAGGACCTTGTGCTTGCCAGGCAGGCGCGGTACCACTGAGCCACATCCTCGGCCCCTTGTTTGTTTTTCTAAACAAAGGGCACAGCAATAGTTTCTGGTCCCACATGGAGTATTTTGTTTTGGTTTTGGGTTTTTTTGAGACAGAGTCTTGCTATATAGTCTAGTCTGGCCTTCAACTCACAGCAATCTTCCTGCTTCAGCCTCCTGAGTACTAAGATCATAGGATTACTCTTTTAAAATGTGGCAAAAGTAATGCTCCATAACTTCTAAAATTTGGTCATAAGAGGGCACATGGCCCTGGGCTTCATCTTCCTTCCTTTCTCTCTCCTTCTAGAAGGTCCCTTTTGGAACCCAGCTATCATGTTGTGAGGAAGCCCATATGGAGAAACCACATGAACAGGTTCCTGTGGGTATGAGATAAGCTTGCCCCTCGGCTAACGTCCATCAACTGCTTGGCATGTACGTGCACACCAGCCTTCAGATGATGCCTAACCCTGGCCTGAGTCTTCCTTCAGCTAAGGCTCTAGTCTTCATGCAGCAGACAAGCTGACTGCTTTGCCCAGTCTGATTCCTGATCTAGAGAATCTATAACATAATAAATGACTGGGGCCAGGGATGAAGCTCAGTGGTACAGCAACTGTCTGGCAAATGCAAGGTCCTGAGTTCAATCCCTGGTATAAACAATTTTAAAAACACATAATAAATGATTATTTTATGCTACTAAGTTTTATGACAATCTGTTACACCATCACAGTAACTGAAAACTCAACATTTAAAACTCTGGTATAGGCCAGGGATTTAGCTCAGTGGCACCACGCCTGTCTCGCAAGCACAAGGTCCTGAGTTTGATCCCTGGTACTGCAAGTGAATAAATAAATAAGACCCTGGTATAGCTAGGCATGGTGGCAGCACTTGGAAGACTGAGACAGGAGGATCACTGCAAGTTCAAGGCCAGCCTAAACTACAAAGCAAGACCTGTCTGAAAAATACAAAACCAATCAGTCAATCTTGGTAGACTCTAAAGAACCTGTGAAGACTAAAAAGAAATGACAAGATAAAAAGGATTATAGGCACACACCTATAATCCCAGCACTACAAGGGAGGCAGGAGGATCATGAGTTTGAGAACACCCTGGGCTATATACTGAGTTCTAGGCTAGCCTGGATTACATAGTGAGGCCATGTTTCAAAAGGGGGGGAAAAGGGCAAGTAAAAGGAGAACAGAGTAGGCTATTTGGAGGGAATTGTCAATGATGTCAATCTGGCAGGGAGATCAAATAAGGGAAGTGAAAAAATGAATACTAAATCTAACAGTATGAAAACCATTGCTGAGTGCCAAGACAATTCTGTGGGGCAGAGAATCATCTTTTCTTTTCTCTCTCTTTCTTTCTTTCACCATCTTTTCAACAAGTAATGGTGGGACAATTGGATCTACATATGTAAAAGAATCAAGGTGGACCCTTCCCTTACACCATATAAAAAAAATTAACTCAAAATGTGTCATCTGAGGGCTGGGGGTATAGTTCAATGGTAGAACACTTGGCTAGCATGTGTAAAGCCTTAAGTGTGGTTCCCAGCATGGGATGTGGGGAGAACAAGTGATAACTTGTGGCTACGTGGAGAAATTGGAACCCTTCATATACTGCTAAGTAGAAATGTAAAATGATGTGGCTGCTTTGGCAGTTCTTTACAGTTTTAAACATAAAGTTACCATAAGGCCCAGCAGTTTCATTCATAGGTATATGTCCATGAAAAATAAAATACATCCATACAAAGACTTATACATGAATTCTTGGGAGGTAACTGTGCTTGACAGTCTTGTGCAAAGGCCCTGGGTTGAGTCCCCGGCACTGAAGAGACATAAACAATTTGTACTTGAATGTGCATGGAAGTGTTGCTCATATTAGCTAAAAAGTAGAAACAACCAAGTGTTTATCAACTGATGTTTGATAAATGAAGTATATTTACAATGGAATATTATTCAACCATACAAAGAAATATAGCACTATGTATGTGCTATAACATGGATGACTCTTGAAAACATTATGGTAAGTAAGAGAAGCCAAGACCATGTATTGTCAGATTCTATTCATATGAATGGCCCAGAATAGGCAAAACTACAGAGTATGGGTAGCTTAGGGGTGGCAGGCAGGAATGTGTCTTTGGAGAGAGGAAATTTTTCTAAAACAAATTATGATGAAGGTTGAACAACTGGTTCTATTAAAGCCATTGAAATGTACATTTTAAATGGGTTAGTCAGGAATCACTGAATTGAATTTAAATGCTCTGTCAAGAATTACTGAATAGGCCAGGTGTGGTGGTGCACGCCTGTAATCCCAGCACTGGGGAGGCTGAGGCAGGAGGATCGCTGTGAGTTTGAGACTAACCTGGGCTACACAGTGAGTTCCCGGGCAGTCTGAACTACACAGTGAGACCCTGTCTCAAAAAACAAAAAACAACAACAACAACAACAAAAATTACTGAATAGGAGAGGTAAATCAGACTAGAATGAATTGGTTAGTGGAAGGTATGGTGGTTTGCACAGGGGGAAACAGATGTGGAACAGTAACTGACAGAGACGTGGGGATAAGAAAAAATTGTTGTTTTCATTCCAGAACAGTCAAGAGTCTGACTATATATGAAATGAAACGATCCAACAGAGAAAGATTGCTAAATAATGTCAGAAAGAGGATGGCAAAGGAGCAAAGTTCTTGAGAAGGTAAGAAAGGATGAGATCCAGTCCACATGTCTCACCTTCCTGCCGCTGGGACAAATACCCAGCACCCACAATTTATTTTGGCTCACAGTCTCAGTCCATTTTTCAGCTGGATCCAAGGCAGAAACAGGATGGTAGGGGAAAAAGTACTCCACCCATGGCAGCCAGGAAGCAAAGAGGAAAAGAGGCAGCTGAGGACAAGAATATACCTTTCCACCTTACCCAGTGACCCGAACCAACCAGGCCCTGCCTCCGGCCAGTGCACTCAGTTGCGAACTCATCAGTGGGTGAATCCGCTGATGACTTCGGCACCCTATGATCCCCAATCACCTTTCACACATGTAGGGCTTTGGCAGGACATTTAATTTAATTTAATTTATTTTTCTTTTGGTA